TTCCTTTTTATCGGAACTTCATTTGTACAAGTCATTAAAGACTCACCGTCCATAAACGGCCGAATCGAGCCTGGCTGTTGAATTCGTTTTGTATCCTTCAACGCTTTTGGAAAGCGCCGTGTGCCCGGTGATCGGCAAATTTCTGTTTGCGGAAGGCGCAGAACGGCGATTCGAGTTTTTACGTGTTGGTTTTTAGTACATGAAAACGATTCTATGAGATATTTATAATATCGTTTTTTCTCGTTTTGAGCGTTTAAAATTATAAAATTTATGTGATATTTTATTAAATATTTGTTTTGAATTTTACAATTGTTTTACGAGAATGTCGCATAAAAATGAGAGATGCGAACAAAAAAAAAAAAAAACGACGAGAAAGTCCAGATACGATCCTCTCCGTCATTATCCTCCATCATGTCATGTCATGGTTTCCTCTGCTTTAACGCTCAGTGTTTCCACAGTCCTAAAACAATTCCGTAGGATCATTCATCTTCGGCAACAAGCGGCAACGTCAGAAGCGTTAGACCGAACTAAGAGAATTAACAGGAGATTGTCTGGCAGATTTGAAATCTCAAAACATCCTCTCTTCATCATCTGAAAAACAAATATGTTTTTCAAATATTTCTCAAAAACAAATGTGTGTATGTATCTATTAGAGCATGGTGAATGCAATTTGATAAATAAGTATATCTGTACGGTATCTGCGCATGACGTAACATATTACTGAACGTGTAACCGTATTAATCATACCGAGATTATCAGAAGCTGCTACATATTTATCGTCACGTTTTAAGTAATACCAAATTTTTGTTTGGATGCGATGCAACTCGTGCTGTATTATGTATGAAACTTTCTCCGTTCCTGATATCGATTCCTCTCTCGCGTTGAGTCACATACTCCTCTTTTTTTCATCCGCGCTCTACCAAATCACGTATGCATCGTATGTTATCGCACAATGCGACTGCAAATGCATTTATCGGTTCAGCCATGTGTAGTCCCGAATGCAGTGCGACGGAATCGAAGTGTATATCTACGCAGGCATCTCGGTCAGGGAATTTCGAATAATTTGCTTCGCTTGTTGCCAGGGATTTAGATCTTGCCGACTTTTCGAGCGCATTTGTCGCCGTAGAATTATAAAATTTACGCGTGAAAATAATGTTCGATTCTATATAGAATTCTTTAGAATATGTTTTATAATTATCGGCATTATCTTATAAAATTTTGCCAAGTTTAATATATCGACAGAATTGAAAAAGTGAGAGATAATTGGAATTCTCGGTGTAGAGTTTACACATATTTTGCTAAACGTATCGAGAGCTATTACGGCGACAAATAAATAATTGATGTAGATATTTAAATGACGATGTAATGGATTACACTGAAAAAATAAGAGACGATTATTACGGATTCTCACATGGTGAAGTACTTAAGTCTGCTTTTTCTTTTTTGAGAATTATTTGTAATTATTTTATTGTATTTCGCGCTTTCTCGCGATAAATTTCTTCGTATTTTTTAAAATATAGTTACAACAATCAATATTTTTTAACGTTAAAAACTTATTTGTTAGATTTAATAATTAATTTAATACAAAAACATATTGACTGTAACTCATGACGAAAGTGTAAAAGTGGTTCTCACGATCGTATCAAAGACGTTCATCTATCACCATCAGTCCTCACCGTTTCAAACTGTTTCTATATGTACAAGCCAAAGGAGCGTGGACGATTTTTATCTCGATCTGTTTCTGGCCTAAAAATTCCTGCGAGATCGGTGAGTTTTTGGTCCGCGCGCGATTAGGTCTGGAGATATGGGTCCAGAACAAACAAACAAGAACAAGAGCGCACTCGGCTACCTATTCTCCGTGTTCACCATGAATCGTCACGATGTCCTCTCGCTTTTCTCGTGCCGCGGCAGGTGCACGCATTATCGTAAAATTACTCGAATGTGACAAATATGCCAAACATCTTGGCTAGGGAAAAATAATTTGTTTTGCACCTCTTTAAAGCCGTAGCCTTTGTTTTCCAGAAAGATCAATACTGATATCATCTAATATGCATCTAATATGAATGGAAATGATTATTCTGTTTATGAAGATTGTATTGTAAAAATATTCTTTATTTGTCGAAGATACTCGCTGTTTAACAGTTCGCTCAAGACTTGTTCTTCAATTATTTATTGATTTTTTTCTACATTAAAATATTAAATTTATTGCTTTAAAGATCACTGCACAAATTGATAATAACTGAACACTGAAAAGATTGATTGAAACCGAGATGGAGATTAAACTTACATAAAAATCATTTTCCGAGCGTTTACATCGTGCTCACACTCCCATTCTATTACGTTGCCAATAAACGACAATTTCAGCAGGGACAGATTACCAGCGTATTGTCAGAAAACTCGAAGTTGAGTGCACTCGAATTTCGGCGAAAGTCTGGAAGGCGTTCCGGACCCTCCTATTGTCGCGTTTTCCAATTGCTCACCGCTCTGGGTGACATTATACCTTTTCATTCTTTACTCTTGCACCTTTTGATGCCAGTGGTTCTTCAGTTTCCTTTGAAACTTGAAATCGTAAAATAAATAAACATTTAGTGCGTCTTTTATTCTAGGAAATAACAATTTGCAAATATCCATCTAATATCTTTATTATTAAAATGTAATTTTATTATTTACTAAATGCAGATTTTACAAAATCCGCTATTGCTTACAAGACGTATCATTCTTACATCTTTATATCGAAAAATTTTATCAAAGAGAACGTTAAATTTTATCGTCATTTTATGTAAATACGACGTTAAATATAAAATTATGTTGAATAATAAACAATGATTTTATATCAAGTTATATCGTCAGAAAAATAATTTTTTCCTAAATCTTACAATCAACACAGAATTAACATAGAAGTTGAGAGTCTCTGACTTGCGAATAGGTTAAGAAACTCAATGAAAGTCATTCAAGATAAGTCGTGCCTCCGGTTTTCGAGTTCATTGATGCTCGAAGTTCATTTTTGACAGATGGTCCATCTGCAGGCGGTCATTTTGTTAAGCGTTCTCACTGTAACCAATAGACTGGTGAGCGAAAGGAAGCGACTTGGAATGAATCGCCTCCCTCATCCATTATTGGCTAAGTAATTGTTCGGCCTACTGACCGGGCATCATCTCTGCGAATTTTGCGGCTTTTCAGTAAAAGATCGTAGGTTATTGCTGTTTCCGTTGGTATCCTTTTAAAGCGCTATTGAGAAATCGAGAAGTTCACAAGATGTGTGAGTATCTCGAGCAAACTTTCCGAAAGCAGGCTCGAATATTTTTATATTCTCATAGTATGGTAACAATAATATAGTATCTCACATATATGTATTATTTAGTATATTTTATTTTTTGGCATACAAATGTAATTAAACAGTTTGCCTATTTAAAAAAGTTTATTTATTTTTATGAAGTAGAAAATAAATGTTTTGTATATTTTTTTCGCTATTTGTTTTATTCTGCGTACATTTTTTATTAATATCTTTTTTAATAATATAATATTAAATAAATGAATCATACGTGTAACCAATCGTTTTGTTTCGACTTCCTTTTCTCTTTGCTTGTACTTGAGTAACTCTTGAGGCTGCGTGGAGTTCATTCATATTTCCTAGAAATGTCATGAATGGACTGCGCATAGAATTCAACAGTAAATCAAGAGTAAAATCTAAAGGTTTCATTGACTTTGAAATAGCAATTCATTCACTATTCATTCACTATTCATTCACTTGACTCGCCTTGCTCTTTTGTAGAATGATTCTTTGTTAAAAAAGGTTACTTTTTAAATAAACTCATGAGTTATTCTTAAGACGGTTTACAAAATTTGGGAGAAATAAATTTGTAAATACTATCATTAAAAATTAAATGTATTCTTTGGATATTTTTCGACAATTATCTTAATTACTAATATATATGTTTTTACACGATACTTATATTTTTTTATATGATAGATAGTGTGTGTTTCATACTGTGTTCACATAAAATATAGTTTATTAGCGTTGCTACAACTCGCGCAATTTAATATCTCGAGTTCATTATTGCAGAATAATTAATAATTTTGTCAACGAGCACAATGTTACACGTACAAAACTTCTATTTGACGTGGTGAAATTAAAGAAGCGAGAAAAAGTGGCGCATTCGATACACCAGCTGCCTCGTCTCGCTGCACCTCGGACGTATTTTCTCGCTTCTTCGAGAAGGCACGTGGGTGGCGGCATGGCATTTCGCTGGTTTTATGAGGCCCTTAAGAATGGTCCCAGGACCCGTTCATCTCTTTCCCCTTCAGCCCCCTCACGTTTCACTTCCCTTCTCTCTCCGCTACCTACCTACCCACCTCTTCCACGCCTTCGAACTTTTTGTAGAGTCGCCATTACTCGACAAAGTCCTTTGCTGTTAGGACCCTTGATGGATGCCTGTTGCGTGGGCACCGGCGTTCCGGTCGGTTCAATGGGCTGCGACCGAATCCACACGCGGTCGGTCGGCTTCTTCTATGCCGAAAAGACACGCGTCCAGCTTTGTAAATTGTCCGACTGCCAGGAAGGGTTTCATTCTTGCGCGCGCGCGCGCGAATATATATAGCATATATAACTGCGAATTTACAGAACGAAAGCGTCTCATAACTTTTATACTTTGTTTCGCACCAGAGATATTATCGTTCGATTTCGCCTCTTTTATATTCAGTAATATTTTACTGAATGCCAAATTACACTTTTTGTAAACCGATCGTACACAACTAACGTTTAATAATAAGCATTTATCTTTAAGTTGAACATCGATTTTTTCTTGATATTTACCATAGTTATTTTCTTAAAATATTAAAAACACGCAGAAGGCATTAATATGACAATGTTCCTTAGTCTAGGAAATATTTTTTATTACTTTTTTTATTGGATGTATTGCAAAATAAACTTTTATTTTTAATATTACATTTACTTATTACAATTTCTCAGCGCTTAGATATAATTGTTCTGTGTGTTACAGCAGCTGTACGCCCGTGTGCATGTCAATGGTCGCCGGGATAACCAGATCCACCCACGCAACGATAATAAAGTCACGGACGATTCGTTCCTTTCGCTTTACTTCGGATAAGGACTGAAAGCTTGCCACGACCATGATCTTCGATATGCAATTCCGCTCGCGAGCCTCCTTCGTTTTTACCAAACGCATTGCCGACGAAGGACATCGTAAAAAGCATTCAGATCTTCGTCAATCTCTACGAAGGTAAGATATTCAAAAAGAACCGTTTGTGTTTTTGTCCTAAGAACAAATTCGCTGGAATTCAGTTCAGTTCGCATTTCATGCCGACAACTAACAATTATACGATTTAAATGTTTTCCGCCGCAGGTATGAAACAGTTTAACTTTCGACGCGAGTAAGCATTTCGTAAAAAATTACAATAACTTTTATCTCATCGGCCGAGTGCTGTACATATTCATTTGGACAATTATCTTAATCACGATGCGAGTCGTTCAGTCGAACGTAAATTTCCCGTATGTTACTTTCTCCCCCTCGAATACGTCCCCTAAAAACATCGATGCTGCATTGGCATCTCCGGTGCAATATCCGCGGGGCTAATTCGCGAGTAATTCGTCGATCGTTCGTGCACGTACGAGGGCCAGCTTCTTCCGCTGTGGAGAGTTGCCGAAGCCATTAAGAGCGCGGCGGACGCATTCACGACTTTCACCTTCAAAGTTTTAGAGCGCGCGAGAGAAGGATGTGCCATATAATTTCGTGGGCGTATGGGGAGCAGACTAGAAGAAGGGATGAAGAAGGGAGTGGCAGGGAGCGAGCGGCATGGGCGCAGCATATGTATAGAATACGTGACATTTTTTAGCTAAAGCGATACAAATATGTGAATTATTCTTTAATTCGAGGATCAGATTCAAGTACAAGCTTTAATATCAATGGAAAGCAAAATGTGCGGGAAAAATTCTGCTCAATATTGTTCTTGCAAATACCGTTTGTTAAAGGCATTTACAAATTATTCTAATACAGCTGACGTAATTTTCTTCCCTGCGATCTGAACGACTATGCACGAGGTAACATACGATTTTGAAGCGAGAGCAAGTGCCCCTTCTTGCCGCTCCCTGTGGACGCCCGCGATGAGGATTGACGGAGGTCGGAGCGGCTCGGAGAGCACTATATGCTCTTGCAAACAAATGGTCGGCAATTACCTGCAATTTGCTATATATATGCCGGTGCCTCCCTCCTTCCATCCCTTCGCTGGCCCGCCGTCTCTCGTTTTCGTGGCCGTTTTCGTGGTGCTTCCACCCGGGGCGATACATCGATTGCCGAGTAATTGTCAGCGCTCAGCGCCCCGAAACGCAGGTGTAGCGGGGCAACAACGGAGCCCGCGAGCGCCACGTAAGTGCGTTAACTTATGTATTTCCGCCGGGAGGGACAACTAAGAGTGGTGCCGGAATATTTCTGCTGGGTAAGGCGCGAAATATCAGCGCTTATACAAGCACGTACATCTATACTAGATCGCTAACAGGCTGAACGAAAGAAGTTTTTGAGAAATGCTCTGTCTTTCTATAACTAGATACGCTCTTTCTTTCTATAACAAATATAGAAGAGTGAGAAAAGATAAAAAAATTTTAAATTTTACCGAAGAACTTATTCTCTCTGCGAAATTACAAGATATGGCAAATTATTTTGATTATGTACTTTGTTAATTGTCAAGTTAATTGTCAAGTTGTCGTTAAACTAGAATTATACAATATAAAAATTTCTGTGCGTAGGATAATAGAGCTTTTTTCTAAATGTACATGCAAAATGTAGCAATAATACAAGCGTCAATAATATTAAAGTATTAGCACTTGTGTTGCTAGTAAAATTGAACAATTTATATATTTGCCGATATATCAATTACCAAAGATAGCTATTGCAAAAAAATATTTGAGTCTCTCTCAAATATAATAACATAAACTTGATAATATTTTTTATGATGGAACGCACGCGTGAGAGAGAAATAAAAATTTTTTTTGATGCAGGAATTCGAGAATGACTTAATTCTGGCAGTGCTTTCTCGCCTTAAACGGGGCATCCTCTCGGCGATCTCGCTTTTCTTTTTATTTTTGTTGCACTTGACGAGCGCCACGTGACGCAAGTGTCACAGCTGTTACGGTCACGCCGGCCGCACCTCTCTTACCCCCCGTGACGGTCCCTTGAAAAAGAGAGAAAAATCCGTGCCGCATGACGCGATGACGGCGAGAGTCACGAAGGAGGCAGCGTTGAAAAGAAGCGGCTCGTTGTTGCACGAGGAAGTGTCTCGTATGTCCCAATCGCTCCGGTTCTCCCTTCGGATACTCGATACCGAGAATGCATATCGCGTGTGCCTTTCGTACGTATATAGAATTGTAGCTAATGACCGGTAGACTATCGCGAGTTGCGTGCAACTTCGACGTATGTAACGAGAGATCGTCGGGATATACGACATTATGTGTGAAAGATCGAAAAGCTGTATAAAAATTGCCGTTTTTGCTGAACCCGGAAGTGCTATAAAATTAATTTAATTCACTAAATAGCTGCTTTGAATAAATCCCGTTTCAAAGTTTTATGTTACTTTACTTAATTCTTATATTTAAAGTTGATTTTTCGTACGATTATCTCAATAACATGAAAAATTGCAACTGAATTTTATATTACATCGTGAGGAAAGGTTGAAGATCACTGCTGTAGTAATTATTATTGAGTTATCAGCCATACACGTGGTTTACATGTTTTTGTCAATTTTGTTTTGCACGGTTACATGCATTTTATTGTCAACTTCAAGCTTACAACAGCTTACTACGTGCAACATTTATTTTCGAACGCTCCGAGGCTTTGCGTAAGGTACATCGAACGCTTGAATCCTGATCGAGTGCGTTTTAACTCGCCGTTAAGCATCCCTTTTTCACTGTCATTCGCAAAGCACGAACGAGCGAAGCGGGCGCGAACGAACGTTACTTCGAGCCCCTGAGCGAGTAATTAGCAAGTAATACGAAACTTCGTGATCCGCAACCATTTCGTTTATTTCGCTTGTTAAATCGATTCGCCGAGCCGGTTTGAAATATTGATTTTTACTTACCGTCATTATCGAAGAAAAACTTCCGGGAGATGGGGAGAGGATCCGCGCGTGCGAATAAATGTGTCCTCGGGGGGTTTTTGCGGTCACGAGAATTGGTCGTAAATATTTTCTCAAGACCGCAAAGAAACCTCATTCCCGGATGTTATCGCAGGTAGATGTTTTCGATACAGCTTAGGTTAACCGCGCTGGATAATCCGGCACGGTTCATAGCGGGGAGAACAAACGCAAACTTCGGTAAAACACGAGCTTTCGCACACCTGGTGATGCACAAACAGTATCGGGATGAAAAATGCAAATTTCTCAACGTATTGTCGGTCTTCTTTCATTCAAATATTTTTGCCTGAAGAAAATAGGCATTGTTATTATAGATGATTTATGATCTTGATAAAAATAACAGAAATTTTGAAAATTTTGCGTAAATTCCATGCAATAATAATTATTCGTTATGTCAAAATTTTACATATAAAATAGTTTATATAAATATATTGAAAATTTATAAAGCAAGTTTTAGATTAAACAATTTTTTATTTATTTATACATGTCTCAACTGTGCTCGTTCGATGCGCGCGTTAATTGTAATTATATCACACATTTTAATTATTTTATTGAAGTACTGTGTCATATATCTCCATAGTTTGTCATGGATCGTTATTTTTCATTCATTTGCAATTGAAGTTTGAGTTTAATAACGGATACGATACACGCAGACCGTATGCTCGCGCGCCAAGACATTATGATCAAAGATGCAACGGAGAAAGTACATCGCCACGGGGAATACGATATAATGGATCAATGTAGCGAAGCGTGCGGGAATTTACTTAATTGCAATTAATGAGGGGAGATACCGCAGTGGGGTCACGTGAGTTAAAGATTACTAATGTGCTGACAGGATTATGGTTGTTGAGTAATCACTCGAGTGTAGCGCCTATTTCGAGTATCAAATCTTGTGGAAGACGTATTTATTGTGTATATACCGTACAACACATCGCACGATATTTAACTTTGTTTCCATTATGTTAAATATTTGACATACACAAACATCTCGATGTTTATTCATTCAATTGAAAGCAAGCAGAAATCCAGCTCGCTCGAATTTTTTATCTCGGTTTCCGTAATATCGTACATTTCATCGACCACCCGCGTGCGCTTTTGTACGCGATCACAACGTATGTTTATCGAGCGATTTTTCTGCAAGGCGAAATTCTGAAAGAATCGGAACGAGTTCGGCATTCTTGGATAAACAATTCTGATCATTGGCTCCGGGTTTTGCGTGGGAGTGCGTGTGTGCGTGTTGTACGTGCGTAATGTCGATCGTTCTGTGCACGGCTGCTCGCACATAAGTAACGCTGCCGCCACGCGTGTGGAGGAAAAAGGCCGCCGCGTACGGCACAGGCGGCTCGTCTGATTGGCTAAATTTATGGGGTCTACTTATCGTATACTTACCGCGTTGTATATCAACAATGACACTCACACCCGCCGGCGCTCCCTTCCGCTTCCCCGTGCAGATTCTTTTTAGGCCTTTCTCCGCTGCACTTTTCACTTCTCGCCCTCTCGAGAACGGATTTATTACAGATAAATCGTTGATTAATGCGGTCGTGCGTTATTTAGGAAATCGCAATGCTGCAATATGCAAGAGAGATACAAGCACTCACTTCTTCGTGCGATAAAATTCTCATTAAAATAAATTTTCAGGTTTTGATACTGAAATTCAGTCCATATTTATTATTAATTACATCCTGTTATTTTAAACCTTAAATCGCTGCAATTTCTTCTGTAATGAGATTATATTTTCTCGATAGTATATCGACAGTCCTAAGTGTGTGAATAAGATATTACAATAGTTACCTTTATTAAAATCAATCTCGATTCCCCTCAAGTATAGACGCGGCAGTCATAAGAACATGACTTCCTGAAACATCGGTCGTTTCGTCGACGTCGTGCATGAAAAATGCGACAGTTGTGCATGCGATAAACAATTTATTAATGAATAGACGATACGGGTCTGAATATGAATGTTCGTTGATCGTAACAGCGACACATGTCGCGACGTTATCTTTGGTAATTCCTGGACACCTTGGCGCGCGGGATATCCTGTAGGCGCCAGGAAGCGACCGTCACGCGTTACGGTCGTGAATCACAGAAACAGGAAAGC